GGCCTGGGAAGGGCTTTCCCAGGGATGCAGGCGGCTGTGAGAAACCTTTGCTCTCATGGACCGTCTTCGGGAGGTGGCCACAACATCCGAGTTCAAGGTCAAAATTAAGACTCTGACAAACCCTGGGGAGCCGGTGGGCGCCTGTGTTGTATCATGGGGCATCATGAAAACGAGATGCTCACCAGGCCCCCACAGAACTGCGAGGCCCAAGGTCCCAGGAAGTGCACCCTGGCTTGACTCGGCAAAGCCAGAACCAACAGAGCGGGTGACCCAAGTGACCATCCCGGTTGACATCACAGCTCAAGTCTCGCCACATACACCTCTTTACCTGAATTTTGTCCATGGCAATGCAGACACGCTTCTCTTGAATTATCAACCAATGCATGAAATAAATTTTAAAACTTCCAAAAGCAGTAAGCTGGTAGTGTTTTGTCCATAAATCTCTAAAAGTTCTCTGTGAGTCCCGTTAGCACTTAAGTCTTTAAAAAACAAACTGCCGGGCAGGGGACGCACTAGCCGTGCTGATCAGGCCTGTGGGGCTTCTGAGAGGGCCGCACTCGGGTGGGTCTTCGCTGCAGCCTCCTTCACAGGGCGGCCCCAGGCCCTTCCCGTGCCCCCGCTCCACACCCACCCTGGGCAGCACCACCATGGCCTGTCTTATGGAAGAAGAACAGGTTCCCAAACAGAAACAAAATAACAGACATAAAATAAAGCAAACAGCCCGGCCAGTGGCTCAGTGACTGAGCGTCGACCTATGAACCAGGAGGTCACGGTTTGATTCCAGGTCAGGGCACATGCCCGGGTTGTGGGCATACATACAGGAGGCAGCTGATCAATGATTCCCTCTCATCATTGATATTTCTCTCTCTCCCTCTCCTTCCTGTCTGAAATCAATAAAAATATATTAAAAAAACAAAGAGCATTTTTTACTCATTTTCACTCCAATCTCATGAGACAACATCCTGCCCTCAAAAGATTCAGTGGTGTTTTATTTGTCCCCGCCAAATCTGAAATATGTATTATTTTTTCAATTGTGTAAGCATGACAAGACACACTGATCAAGATTTTAGAAATGCAAATATTGGAGCGTATGTTAGGGTGAGGGGAGGCGAGGCCGCTGGGTCTGCTTTTCGGAGGGAGTGAGTGTCACGGGGCCTGGCTCTGGCCGGGAGTCTGCGGGGTAGGGGTGAGGCCAGGGCCCGGGCTGTGGATCTGTCCTGTAATATAGAGATTAAAAAACGCGAAAGGGAAGGGAAGAAAGGAGAGCACACAGCTGCCGGCCCCCAAACAGACCTCCCATCTGCCACCCATGATTTGCATGTCACCTTCTCCGGGCTCATTTGTACTTCATTAACTGCCATTGACTTAACAAGATTTATGCAAATGACACCATAGGAGCTCCCCAACTCCCACTGCAATCAAGTGATTATGTATGTACAACTCTCCACAGCAATGAAAAATTCATACGTGACAGGCCACTCGCCGCCGAGCGGGCCTCTGGCTTTCTCTTTTTCTTGCTTTGCTTTTTAATTTTTATTCCAGTAGACTTATCTTATTAGGAAAGAAAGAAGACACTCTCTGAACCAAATCTCCTCTAAGGCCTCAGGAAGGACAAAAAAGGGGGAGGTGGGCCCAGGTCCTCAGGAAATGAAGTTATTTTGTAGAAAATAAGTCATATTCTTGATGAGCAGCCCTTCCCTGGGAACAAGGGAGAGAGGAGATCGCTGCCTGCCGTGACCCTGCTGGCGCCCACCTGGAGAAGAGCCTCCGTCCTCACAGTGAACAGGCTGTGAGGCGTGAGTGATGTAATTCACAGGAACACAGACCGTCTGTAGGATGAGTCAGGTGGGAGCGTGCTCAAGACGGCCTCCTCTGTGTCCCAACCCATCGGTACAAGGTCCCCGTGGGGAGGAGCACAAAGACGGCCGCGATCACAGACACTGGCCTGCCCCAGCCAGCACCATGACCAGCCCCATGGAGGTCGCAGAGGTTCCCAACTGGGGGTGGGGGGGGCAGCACGCACGGCAGGACTGGAGCGAGGGCTGAGCGTGGAGACAAAGCACGTGCTGCTGGTGAGAAGGACAGGGCACGCCTGTGGCAGCAGCTTCCCAGTGGGGGAAAGGCCGCCCCCCTGTACCCCCGAGAGCCACGAGCGCCCCTGCACTGTCCCTGGAGAAACTTGGCCCTGCAGGTGCAGTCTGAGAAGTTTCTTCTACACAAGCACAGGTATTCTGTCCGAGGTCAGGGTCACACATGTTACACACCAGGTTGCTTTCTGAAGGCTCCTTGTGAGGCAGTGGAGAGGGTAGAAGAGTCGGACCCCATCCTGGCCCCATCTTACCCTCCCTGAGCTTAATGTAAAATAATGAAAACACAGCCACCCCAGAATGGCCATGTTTGGAATTCAATGGGATGCTGTATGCAAAGTGCTTCATCCTATATAATAACACCCTAATATGCAAATCGACCAACCAGCGGAAGGACAGGCAGAACGACCGGTCACTATGACACGCACTGAACACCAGGGGGCAGATGCTCAATGCAGGAGCTGCCCCCTGGTGGTCAGTACGCTCCCACAGGGGGAGTGCCGCTCAGCCAGAAGGTGGGCTCAGGACTGGCGAGTGCAGCAGCTGTGGCGGGAGCTTTTCCTCCTCTGCTGCAGGCAGGTGGTAAGGAGCGAGGGGTCCAGGACTGCGGTGGGGGGGGGGGGGTGGAATCAGGCCTAAGCCGGCAAGCGGACATCCCTCAAGGGGTTCTGTACTGAGAGAGGGCACAGGCTGGGCTGAGGAACCCCCCTCCAGTGAATTTCGTGCACTGGGCCTCTAGTAGGATAATAATAAACACTAATTTAATTGTCCTTTATTCAACAAACAGGTCTGTCAGCTGTCTGGAACACGCTGGTGTCGGCAACGCCCCTTTGGCTCCTTCCTCTCACCTCTCCCTTCCTTTCCGCTAGTTGAAGTCATCCCTTGGTCGGGGAGAGGGCAGGGAGGGGGGGTAGGAAATCAGACTTTCGCTAATGATCTCGGCGTTTATAAACACAGACACACAAGCATGTGAGATCAATCTGCACAACCGTCCACATACCCACACCACCTGGGGGGCCCACAGAGAGGCACCGGCAGGTGTCCAGCATGAGGATGCGAAGATCCAGACTTGCTGAATTCAAACATTCTCTCTGGAATCTCCACATGCCAGTGTTTCAAGGGCCTTGGATCTGGCCCAGCGCCCCATGTCACAGATGCGGCCCCTGCGGCTGGACGTCCTACCAGATGTGGTTTCCAGGACGGGCTTGCCCGTGGACACAGCACTGGGGGGTGGGGAGCGGGGGTGTGCAAGGAACAAGGAGCCCTGTGCACGACTCACCGGGAATGCAGCCCTGATTTAGACGTCCACAAGGTTGTTTTGAACATTCGCAATTAAAAGGCTTCCAAGGACTGGCTCAGTTTACATTTGCGGGTCGACGTCCTTCCTCACACAGACTGGACACCGAGCCTCCGAGGAGGAGCAGGTCCCCACTGAGTGACCCAGGGACCCAGGACCTGCTGGCCTGAGCAGCCGCCCTCGTCGGCAGCAGACGTGAATGAAGGGAACAGTCTAGTATTAAGTTCTAATGTCCCCAGACCAATTACTAAATGAGAGTAAGAGAGCAAATGCTTTTTATAATTTTAAAACAGTATCAACAGCATAAAATCACACATTACCATTACGTCATGCAGAGAGCTGGGTTTATAAATGAGCACACAGAGAAAGAATGAGTGTGCGTGGACCGCCCCAGGGAGGGAACCGTGAGAGGGAACACACCCACCAGCAATGGGGCCCTGTGCCAGTCCACACCGTTGTCGCCCAGGCTCTGAACGTGTCTTGTGAGAAACCCTGCAACCGCCCTGCTCTGCTCCCCCCCACAACATGGTGCTAACCCCCCTCCCCCCATCTAACCTGCTCCTCGCTCATAGCAGCTAGGGCTACATTCCCAAAAGGCTCGGGCCCTTTAAGGGCGGCCAGTGCCAACACAGGTTCCTATAGCTGTGGAGAGCCACCAAGGTGCGGGCAGAGGGGGATGGCGGAGAACGGCCACCCAGAGGGTCATCGCGGTCACAGCAAAGTCCATGAGAGGCAGAGCCGGAATCCTGCCCACGGATTTTCCCTCGTTCAGGCAGAATGCACTAAAAACCAACTGGTCTTCTTTAACCAACTAAAAGACGGCATTTCCAGAAGCCACAGTGCCGAGTTAAACTCTCCATCTTCCTTGGAAATATAGCAGCAAAAGATGTCATGTGAAGGTCCGTTGTACTTGCAACATAAAGCAATTTGGTGTCTGGTTTCTGGGCTAATGAAAACCTATCCAGGCTAGCAACCTGGGCCAAAACAAATGCTCGCATTCAGTCCTCCTGTGTAATGAGGAAGTTTAATTAAGGCCCCCCATTACAGCTGTAAATGTTCCTTTATATAATAAGGTCTAAATGAAACCGAACCTAATCAAAGTTACAATTCCTTCATTAGCAAATTACAAACAAGAGCGCACAGCTGACACACCGGCTATGATTATCACAACTAATTGCCTCGTTGTTACAAACTAGCCTGAAACGGTGTTCAGATGTCCGTCTGCAAGAGCAAATTAGGGCCACGTCGGGCTATTCCCGGGCTCACAAGGGGCTCTTGTGCGGAGATCTGATTTACCCCCGTCGGCCGGCGGCCGGCGGCCCAATCAAAGCCCAGCTACAAAGGCGGCCTTTGAAGCCAGCGCAGCCCGGGACGCGCTCCATATGCAGGCGGGCAGACCGCACTTCATTAGGTCTGTTGTCACATTTTCCCTCTTCTTATTCTAATGATCCCATTTTAATACACACAGGAACCTCTTCTAATTGATGTCAAGTGAGTGACTTCCACATTCATCAACAGAGCACATCAAACAAACCTCGCGCGCGCGCCGGCGTCACGGGCCAGGAGGGACAGCGGTGTGTCGCAGCGGCAGGGAGGGAAGGAGGGCAGCGGCGTACCTGTTTAATTGGGATGGCTCGGCCGCTCCCGATGCTGTCCGCGCGACTCTCCAGGCCTTTCTTCTCTTTGTCCGGGTCACTCCCTTTCCGAGACTGCAAAACGAAAATAAAGTTAGCATTTGGCCGGGGCTGCGGCTCACAGATGGCGCCAGGTTTGTCCTGGTTTGCGCACTTTCTGCAAACATGTATTTGGAGGCCAGGGAGGGGGTATGGATACAGACATCCGCACGCGCACCACAGAAGCAGGCTGTGGATTCTTTCGTCTCCACGGGTGCGTCCTCTCACGGAGAATTTTCTAAACTTTTCCCCTGCAAAATTATCTTTTAATTCTTTTTTAAAGAGTTCAAAATTCAATTACTAGAAACCAATGGACCATACAGAAAAGTAACGCCCAACAGGAAAACACATTCCGAAGCTGCCGCTAATCTAGGCGGGGAGACAAGGGCTCCTGGCTGCTTGTTGGGGAACCCTGCGACATAAATGCACACATTTAATTAACGTCGGAAGCATTAAAAAAATTCTATTAACGGCTCAGCTGTGCAATGTGATGGTACACGCTCGATTCGTATCGAGGTGTCGTTAATGCTTTTATTGCCTCGGCATGATGAGGAAACAGCAAATTCAAAGTCAAACTCGTGTATACTACCCGCCCCCCCACCCAAAAAAAATAACAAGTGGGAAGAAAAAGTTGGAATATCTTTTCTGACAAGATGTCAGCATTTGGGGGGAAATGAGCAGCTTGGTTTGCCGAGCTCCTGGGACAGTTTCCCCGCCGTGTTGCTGACGCTGTGTAAACAGCACAGGAGCTGGCAACCAGTGGGAGGGTGGCGGTGCCCCATCCGGGAGCCACACCTGAAGTGGCTGGGACCTGGGGATGTTGGGGACCACCCCAGCTACGTCTCCAGCTCTCAGCCGCACGGGGAAGTCGGAGCGCAATGGCTTCCTGACAGATTTATTTCATTATGAGAGAAAGATCTGAGACTCGTCCTCCTTAATAACTGTGCTGACAAGTGACAACTTCACTCCATTACTTTTCAATGGGAACATTACTCACGCAATATTGAAAATGGAGAAACATTTTCGTGTGCTTTTCAAATCTGAGATGATGTATGAAATGAGCAGGCTCGGTGGTGACCGGTGCTGCCGTGGTAAGGGAATGACACCCACTTTCAAAGGGGTGAGGGGTGGGCACTGATTCTGCGTTAGGGGTGCCGCCATGGGATGTAAGGAGAAGGTTCCCTGATGTAAGCTCAGAGGTGGGGCTTCCACGGGCACAGGTGCTCATGAAAAAGCGTGCTTCCCGGAGACCGCTCAGGGAACGCCTACCTACGTGCCAGGCACTGCGCACTGGTTTACCTGGGATGGTCGAAGCCCGAAGACAGAACAGGAAATGAAACAAGCAACACATAGAAAGTTGCAGGAGAACCTAAAACTGAAGGCTTATCCCTGTGCGCAAGAAGGGAAATGGAGCCATTTATCAATTCCTTGCCATGAATTTTAGCTAGGGGTTAGGGGCTTTTCTCTAATTAATAATGTGTGGTAAGAGCTATGCAATAATCCTAAATTCTCTTCTTCCCAAATCTCAATTCACGGGAAAGCTGGAACTCGAGGTTTCCTGTTATAAAATAAGACTCAATACTCACAGGGATAATTTTTTAAAAATTTAAATCAACAGAGATCATTAAAGGTACTTTTGGAAGTTTATAAATTTGGAAATCCATCTTCATTACTCACTATTAACCAGAATGATTAACAAAACAAACATGAAAACATTAACGTCTCCCTCGAGGCAGCACATCTGCCCCAGTCGCTGGGAGCAGGACGCTCAGGTTCCAGGGGAGGCGGGACTGAGGAGATAAACTCCTTCCGTGTTTGATCACACTCTCCAGGATGCATGAGAGTGAAGCACAGCCCATACACGCGGAAATTAAATTCCCCAACAACTAACATTTTGGTGCGAGCCCTAAAACTAACATTTCCAGGAGAGAGCGGTGGCAAGCGGTCAGGCAGAGGGTCTGCTGAATCTCAGCCCACGATTACGTTTGCTACAGCACGCTGAGCACAGTCCGACCACTAAACTAACACAGACCCGCTGGACAGAAACACTGCCACACACACATCCCCAGGACGCTCCCCAGCTTTGCCGCCAACTCGGAGATGACAGCCCCAGGAGCACAGCTGCGTTCCCGCTGAAATAGCTCCGTGAAATCGTCAGCTACACGGCAGCGCTGGTCCCCACCGCCTGTGCTGGGAGCGACTGCAGTGCATCTGCTTGACATGCACAACTAGAAACCTAACAAGAGTTTATGCACCCACCACGGAAGGCCGGCAACATGCCCAGAGTGACTGCTTAGCCTGGGCAGACACGGAACACAGCGGGAAGAGAGGTGGCGGTGAGCTCATTATCACCTCCCTCTCTACAGAAATGATCAACTTCCTCCCGTGGGATGGAAGAAGCCAGGATGCGAAAACCCCATCAACCGCCTGCCACAGGGACAGGAGCTTCGAGGCAGAGCCCTCATGCCCAACAGAAACCTCCTCCCGCTCGAGCCCAACGAGTGGGACTCTGCGGTGACCATCCACACCATCCTTCTTACACGACCAGCTTTGCTGCCTTATTTTTACGGTGAGTTTCTGTGAGCCGGGCAGCGTGTACTCACAATCTTTGGTCACGGGGCATGCGGGGCTCTGTGTAACGGTGTTGGCATGATACAGGAAGCTTTTAAAAATACCATGCAAGTCACACCGTTTTCCAAAGCTCGAAGAGAGGCAAAGCAATTCCATGTACAATTACAGACACAGTGCAGTAAGATGACAGCGAGCGCACAGACAGTAAACACCCAGGTCAGGCGGGCTGCTCCCCGGACAGGGAGGCAGGGGACACAATGGGGGGCGAGGGGAGGGCTGTGACTTTCCCCTGCGACTTGTTCACTTCCTGAAGCAGCAGCTTGCCCGGGAGGAGCGCACAGCACGGTGCGTGTGTCTGTGTGCTTTCCGTTCCTATATGCCTGAACATACTTGCAAATAAAGCATCTTACCCACACACAAATCAGGGCCACTAAGCTACCCTAATTGTACGAAGAACCCCTAATACAGAACCAGGAATTGAACAGCTATAGCCTTTTAACTGTTCTTTTCTCAAAACAATAATTTAAAAAAAAATTAAGCAAAATAATATATAATTTAGCTTTTGATTAGTAAAGTTCAATTCCTCCCACAAGTAAAACACAGTCTCCTGCCACAGCAGAGATGTTTAGTTTCTGCTCTTTTGTAAAAAAGTGCATGTGATTTATTTTCGTGTAAAATTGTGCATTTATGCAAACAGAAACATCTAGCCCAGCGCGACATCACGCATTACAGGTCCGCGCTGTCAAGTTTGTAAGCTCGGGTGTCTGTGGAATGATGTTTGCACCACTTGGTTCCCTCGGCCTCCTTCCAGCGCTCTAATAAAGGTGGACAGTGCCCCTCCGCCTGGGAACGGCAATCCCAGCCTGCACGGATTTTTACTACAAGTGTTCAGCATGTGGCACCTCCGTTCTACTACACACTGTCATATAAACACATTTTGGGGGGGGGGCAGGGGCGGGCAATTGAGGCCAATAATTACCAACAATTACCAGGGAAGAAGAGTCTCTGAGATTCCACATGTTTATGAACAGCTGTAAACTGGTAACAATGAGTTTAGCTGCTTCACTGCGGCAATTTCAAAATATTATGCCTCCTTTTCATTCCTTGGGTGACACTGACATCTAGTGGAGTTAATATTTCTAAGATCTTCAACTTAAAAATACGAACACATCTCTGTCACCATCACCACCATCGCCATCGCTCTGTCCAACGTCAAACCCAGGATTCCAGCTGTTTCCTTAAATGCCATGAGGCAAAGCCACCGCAGCTCCTCTCTGACCCTCGGCTCCTGTGCCTGCGAACCGCTCCGTGCGGCTGGGTTCTGTGTCTGAGGGTCACAAGCAAACTGCTTTCCAGCATTTAGCGAGGAAGGGAGCAGCGATGACAAAGCACAGCTCCAGGGCCAGACCTTTGCATTATGAGACTTTCCCTGGGACCTAATGAAGGGAGACTTCCAGGCAAGGTAAGCAGGAGTTTTTATTGGCTCTGGCACCTGGGGCACCGGGCCCGTCCAGGGTGCCTGTGTGCAGGGCCCACACGTGTGCAGCATGTCCATGGACTCTCCCCGAGCTCCCCGCCCCCACCCCCCCGCCTTCTCTCTAAACCACTTTCTCTCGAATGTGGGCAGACTCTGCAGACCCCAGGCTCCAGCAGGCTCTGCCAACAGCACAGGGAAAGGAAACATTCATTTACTGAGGTACTATTATTAACTTTTCATTCACTGAGTTACTATTACCTTCCTGCCTCCAGGTTTTCTCTTTGGTCCTTCTCCGTGGGCAGGGTCCGGGATACTACGTTTGGGACATTCCAGGGCCACCCTTAACCTGTGGGGACGGGGCTGCTGGAGCTCTCCTTCCACAGCCTGGTTTTCAAAGGTACTGCCTGACTCCTCATCTTTCTGAGAACAGAAACCAAAGCCACACTCTCCTGAGCTGGAGGACGGTCTCTCCTCCAGCCCTGCCTCACAGGAGGGCAGAAGTGCAGAAGGCGCTCTGGTCCACGCCCAAAGTCCACCCTCTCCGCATCTTCAGCAGGTGAGGTTCCTCAAGTCCACCGAGCCAAGAGCGAGGCACAATCTGTTCTGTAAGGCGGCTCCTTCTCAGCCCCGAGTCCCTGACGTGGTGTCCGCAAGTGCTGCGGGTACAGGACAGAGCCGGGAGGGCGGCCCGGCCCCCCGTCACTCGCGGTGCGTCTGAGGTTCACGGTGAAACAGCTTCCTCACGCACTCACAGTGACACTTGTCAGTCACCTGTTTTTCGCAGACACCTAGCCACCCCTCTCCTCACCTGTCCCACAACCACCTCTGCTTTCCACTCTCAGAAGTCACTTCATGATGTCAGTGGCATGAGAAAAAAGTGAAAACAATGCCCGAAGACTGCATCTTCCCAGGAGACCGGCCACACTCAACTACTGCTGTTTCCAGCTCAGAGAGGTTAAGTAACCTGCCCAAGGTCAAACTGCTGCTGGCAGTGGAGGCTGGCATCCGAGCCCGCTCTGTCGGGTCCTCTCTGTCCCTCCCACAGCAGCGTCTGTCAGAACTCACGTGGCACAGGGCACAGCAAAGAAAAGGTGTGAGCTGCCAGCAACGGACTGTGGCGGTAACCACTGTCCAGTGGGAAAAGCACTGCCCAGATGGGGGGGGGGGGGGGTCACACATCAATGCCCCTCCACACAGGCCCGCAGGTCAGACGACAGGCCCCGGCCACCCCAGGGGAGTCCTCCTTGATTTCGAGACCAGGAAGACTGCACATTGAGCTTCTCTGCATCTAATCACCAGTGACCAAGCAAAGGAGGTCCAACTGTTAAACAGGGCCCCGTGGGCACCAGAGCCGGCCCCTTGGCTGTGGGCGCCTGCGCAGCGGAGGGCGTTCGGCCGCATCCTGTCGCCACCACGCCCATGAGCAGCTGCCTGCAGCGCGGAACCCTGTCCCAGCCCCTACGTGGTGGCAACTCAAAATTTCCCCAGGAATTTCCAAATGTCCCCGTGAGCAAAGCCACCGGCTGGGAAGCATAGTGGGTAAGCACATGAAACGCATGCACGGACCCAGTCCCGGAGGAACCGTCCCTCAGAGCCCTGACTGATGGGTGCTGTCGCTGGGCGTGTGGAGGGACAGGCAGGCAGCAATTCTGCAGTGAGGGACCACCCGGGAGCTTCTGAAAGCTACACAAGCAGAGTCCGCCTTCCGAGGCCTCAGCGCCAGAACTGAGCTACCGTTTTTAAAGGCTCCACAAGGACCTGAAGAAAGGCCCAGGCGGACAGCCTCGTGGCCACCAGCCTCCAACCCAGGAGAGGCGAGTCCTCGGGCACCCCAGGCCGAGGGGTCGGTGGGCTGGTGTGGCTTTTCTCTCTCACCGGAAAGGCCAGGCACACACCTCTGGGGATTTGGGCAGTTTTACCATCACTCTTATCCCAATGTGACCAGTCTCTAGCTAGAGACCAAGAGAGTCACAGGATCATAGATAATCTTTGTACAAACCCCTCACTCTTTTCTTTTTTTAAAATATTCTTACTGATTTTAGAGAGATGGAAAGGGAGGGGAGAGAGGAAGGATGGGAAGGAGGGAGAGAAAAAAGAGAAAGAGAGGGGGGGCGGGCAGACCTCACGCCCTGACTGGGGATTGAACCTGTAACCGTGTCCGGGATGACGCTCCAACCAACTGAGCCACACCAGCCAGGGTCCTCACCCTTCATTTTTGACACATGGATCAGAACTACCTGCACACCAAAAAATTCCCATTTTGCTCACTATCTAAATCTTTGCATCCCATAATTTTCTCAGACTTCCATGGAAATCAATTACTTTACTAGTAATTACTTTACTAGCCTACTTCACTAGTCTCATTACTTTAGTTTGGATTCCACAAATTTCATTGAACCATCTGGTGGGCAATCTCTACTAGTGGGAAATCTCTGAAGTCACACTCACGGTGAAAAGGTTGGACCGGCGCTTGGACTGCTTCCGGACGGGCGTCGGGGTGTTGGCAGTGGGAGGGACGTCGATCCGCAGCTCCTTCTGGCTGGTGCTGGGGGTCGATGGGACGGAAGAGGAATAGTCGCTCAAACTCCCGCCTCCGTTACTTGTCTGCAATGATTCAAAACCAACGTTTGGTTAAGGACACACTCCAGGAACCGAATGCCACCTCCCGTGCGGGGTCATAAGGAACACGTCAGCGCATCACCCTGGAGAGACGCCCGCGCCAGGCTGGGAGCCCCTCGCTGTGCAGCCGGTGTGGGCATCAGGTACAGGAGGTTTCCTTCCGGAACACACCCGCCCTTTCACGGAGTCCTTCTTCTAAGAAGTGACTTAAGAAAAACAAGCCTCTACCACTTAAGTTTTAAAAATTTGAAAGTGAAATGTAGTCACTTTCTCTTCCCGCTGAAAAGGAAGGTGCTGGTTGGACTCCGTGGGGCCTGTGATTACTTCACTGCTCTAGGCTCCACGCAGGAAGCACGGTTTTGCCCACCACTCACAATTTGAAAATGCAGCTGGAAAATACGACACCTTTTGGGAGGTATTTCAAGATTCATAGAAAACAAAAGCTGCCTCCGGGAGGCGAGAACATTCACGATAGAACCTCTACAGGCCTCGAATATCTATGGTCACTGACCGACTCCCCACGAAACTGGAAGCCTTCTCGCTGCATCCTTTTACCAGGTGCCCGTGAGGCTAACACCTGTCCACAAAATGTCAACCAAAACCGCGAGTGCAAGAAAAACAAGCCACGTTCCCTTAAGGGGTTTTGGTTAGGTTCTTCATAGTGACAATTATTTCATTTACTTCTGAGTAAATAATTGAGCCAATGTTGCTATGGAAAGATCGTTTCTACAGGGCCTCAGGGACATGGGAATCATAACTGAGGGCTGCAACCCAATCTAGGCGCACAGGGAGATGCGCTGCTGACATCCGTCCACAACTGTCCCACCTGCAAGCAGACGAAGGAGGGCCAACACGGGGTCCTTAAGAAAATGTTTTTATGGACTGATTTGAGAGAGAAAAGGGAGTGGGGAGGGAGAGAGAGATATATATTATTCCACTTATTTATTCATTAGTTAATTCTTGTACGTGTCCTGAGCTGGGATTGAACCTGTAGCCTTGGCATACTGGGGCAATGCTCTAACCAACTAAGCTACCCAATCAGGGCCAACACAGGGTAATTTAAATCAACAGCAAAGACAGCAAGCACAGCCCCCCTCTCTCTGGGCCAGCTCGCCTCAGCACACTGGCTGTGACGGGAAATGTTCAAGAACACGTCCCATAAAAACCACTTGGCCCCAGCAGTGTCCGAGGGAAATGCTAAGCCAATTACCAACTTGCTGTTACTCAGAAAGTTGAAAAGAAAAAGAAAATCCACCTACAGCTGGCGGACGACCCTCTGGGCAGGCACAGTCTCCTGGGCTCGGGCGTGCCTTTGGGCCCAACCTCCCGTGCGCCCCACGTACCTGGCTGATGTGCACGGCGGACACCTGCGCGGAGCAGACGGAGGAGTGGCTCGGGGAGTTGGGGAGCGACTTGCAGGGCCCTATGGACAGCTGCTGCTTCTTCCTTGTGGCGACAATCTTCTGGGCAACTAGTGGGCAGGGAGACGAGAGAAGTCCACGTGAGGCTGGTTTCCAAAGGCAGAGAATGTGATGGGGACCGGAGCCCGTCCTTGTAACCCACTATCCCTGCAGCAACGGGATTCCTGATTGTTATTTGGGTGCATGACATGGAGCCGCCTCCTTCCCCTGTACCCCAGCTGAATGTGGTCCTGCATACAAGTTCCGACAACAGAAGGGGCATGTGGCCACGCCCAGGAATCTTTCTTGGGAGAGCTGCCCCTGGTCCATGCCTTCCCTGTGTCTTTCCTTCCTGCTGCTTAAAAAGCACATGTTGGCTGTGGTCCTGGGGGCCCCCTTGGGGACAAAAGCCAAACCTGTGGCGTGTGAGAAAGCAGGAGCCCTCACAGACCACCTCAGAAACCTTGAGTGTAAAACAGAAAAACACACTCCTATCTTGTTTAAGTTATTCTAATAATTAGATTCCGCCCCACCCTCAGTTACTTATGGCAAAAATAATCCTAAATAAGACAGGTTAATGTAACCAGATCTTGAAAAATAAAAAAATCTGGGTTTTTTTGCATAGCCCAAAGAATCACTCAACTTTGCAAGCTGCCTCACAGAATTATATTCAAGGACATGTAATGATAGCAAAGACTTTTTTTATTTAAATATATTGCTACACACATCGGAAGTTTATCTTAATCAATACGAATCTAAATTCAACCAGCCATAACTTGTCCCGGCAAATAGGCTCGCTGATAAAGCATATTGGATTTAATTGGAAAGGAAGTCAACGATTAGAAAGCTCTTCCTACACCCATAGGTGTCACTGCAGGAGAGTAACTGCAGCTTTTATTTGAATAGATGTGTGTCTTTGGGGACGAGCTGTAATTAAGTTCAATGATATTCAATCCTTGTGTTTGCCCAGAGAGTTGCTCTTTTTTGCGGACACCCATGCACAGGAGCGCATCACTGCCCCCAGCAAAAGGTTACAACACAGAAGGGAGCGCATGGCATCTGTAGGCCATTTCTCCTCCAAATGAACACAATTGTAATAAGGAACCAGTCTGCCCGGAGCTGATGGCCTCCATGTAAATGAATGACAGTATAAATATGATTAAGTGAAAACGCAATATGTAAAAAATGGCTCCCAGAGATGAGAGCCAGCCTCATTAGGTACAGCCCACCTCCAATAGGCCTCTTATCATCCTGAAAGCATGATATCAATTAATTTATCTTCCCGTAGTGTATTGATCATAACCTTCATCAGCTAATCATGTTTAAATTACAGAGGAACAGTGCGGCACTCTGTCATTTCAAAACCATCGGCGTATTGATCTGGGGTCTTTGAAGACGTATATTAGAGGATTTTATAAATCATTATGTGAACTCAAAAATAAAATTTAAGATCAGATTCCAACAGCTGCAACACACGTGTCGTGCCAGTGAGCTGAAATCCCAGAGACCAGAAGTAAATTAAGTTAAAATCATGACTGTTTGGAGGATTGCCCATTTACTTCTTTTTGGAGGAGGGAGGAGAGCAAAAGGGGGTTTCTGATTATCAACTCGAATGCATGTTATTTTACTGCAGCCTCAGAGTCACTCTGCAGTTGGAAGGCCAGAGTGACTTTGATCTGAAAGCTCATTAAAAAGCACACAGGTCAGAATTAACAGGGCTGGGCATCTGGAGATCTCTGCAGACATTTCCTGCAAATGTTTTCTTCGAAGGGAGATCTGAGAAGCTTTCTAAGATAAGTCAAATGAACGTCCCATCCTTCCTCCGTGGAGGCCCGCAAGAGCAAGTTCACCAGCCACGAGAACGTTTTTACCTGCGAGTCCCCCCCGCCCTCACCCAATCAAACAGGGTGGTACAGAGCATGAGCCAGAGGGTAAGGATTAAAATCCTGTTCATTTAATTATTGTTCTACCACATTTATTACAAAACACTGGTAGCATTTTTGGTAATATTTTTGGTAAATTCACACTCATAACTTGTGGCATTTTTTAACTTAACTCACATTTGTTCTATTTTCCCATATTGTTATGTCCATACCCCAACGGAAGAAATGAAATTATTTATAAGCATGTTGTTCTAAAATAGACTCTTTCAAAACTACTGGATAACCCACAAAAGTAGGGAAAACTCAACGGAGGGCAATGCGAGTATCTGACTTAAGAAGGAGGAAGACGAGGAAAAGGCCCTGGCGAATGCGGCTCGGGTGGTGGGCATCGTCCTGGGCACCAGAAGGTGGCCAGTTCAATTCCCTGTCAGGGCATGTGCCTGGGCTGTGGGCTCAACGCCGGTAGGGGCCATGCAGGAGGCAGCAAATAAATGTGTCTCTCACATGTCAATGTTTCTCTCCCTCTTCCTTCCTCTAAAAATAATTTAAAAATACTTAAAAAAAAGAAAAGAAGAGGACTAGTAAGAGGAAAAGGAGAGGATGAAGCGACTGTGGTGTAAGGGTTGGCACCCTCTCCACAGCGAGGACGGAAATCTCTGGGATCCCCACGAGCTGCCTGCCAGCTCTACAACCTGAGAGACCATGGCCGTGTAAGACAGTGCTCCGGCCCATCCCTCAAATGATCTTGCACAAGTCGGGGTGAATCACAAGACATGAGAGATGAGATGGTCTGTGTGAGTCGGTGAGCCCCTCCCCCCAAACTGAAGCCCAAGAGAGGGAACTCCTGTTGCCTGGGGGGTGGGGGGGCATTGTTCTATTGTAACTGGAATCATTAACTACTCATATTCAGAACATTTAAACGTTAATAGACTTAAAACATAGTATTACTCCAGATTATGCTGACTGGGCCATTTTTATAACCTCTGAGTTTTGTCTACATTGGATCATTCAACAAATGCGGATATTACATATTTTATAGAAACATGAGAATGAATGATTCAAACAGAACACAAACACTGAGGTTACTTAGAAGAAGAGGAAACCCTTACCCCTGAGAAGTGATGTTTCCCTGATTCTGGTGACCCACGTCCCTACACAGTCGCCAGGGAAGAGAAGTGGCCACAATGTCAGCAGCATCCACTGCAAATGTTCTCTGTTTTGCTGACGCCAGCCAACTTCACGAACCCCCTGGCATTTCCACACTAATGCTCACTGCTGTTTCAGGTCACTTCCTCCCACCATTTTGCATTTGATTTAGGTAATCCATAACAGATATCCTTAATTAACCCCTTCAATCGTATCTATATACACTGTATAAGCTTCAAAATGAAGCACGGAGCTCACCAGTGCCCAGGCGGGAGAGTGCAGGGGCTGCTGGGGGCTGGCAAGGGCCCCTGCTTGACCTGGGTCATGAATTTGAGTCCATTTTTAAAGCCAGTCCCTTAAGTACACTTTCATGTATGTATTCCCATCCTTCAATTTAAATGTAAGCAACAAGCAAAGTGAGTTAGACATTCACTATCTCCACAAATTTTAAAGTTTCCATCGGATAGATGACAAATGGCACCCTTTAATTAGTGTTAAATCTGAGACTCAGCTCCCAAATCAGACCTCATTAAACCCTGGCGTGGTGCCCATCCTGCTTCACTTTGCTTTCCCATCACTCCCACTAAGAGGGGAAAGTACAGGCCCGGCTACACCAGGAAGCAGGCCCGCCCCACACGGTGCCCTCCCCTCTTCCCCCTTTTACATCTGACGCTGAGCCAGGCCACAGATGCAAACAACAAGGCAGAGGGGACCACAGCAGGCGGCCTGCATCTCCCCCCCTCCCCACAGGGACACTGCCTCGGGGCCAGGAGACACCCTATCTCCCGGCCAGCATCTCCACGAGATCCCAGCACATCCAGGACAGGGACCATGTGTCCCTTCTCTGACCTCTCACTCTCTCCATGATCCTTGGAGTTTATTTGGGGAACAGATAAAAGAGGCCCAGGAGGGGCTCAGCCAATGCTGGCTAAACTCCATTTTCACAATCTGCCTTCATGGAAGCAGCCGGACTGTCCCCAATGTCCCGCCCCCTCTCCTGACCCTCAGCCTGGACACAGCCCGCATCACCAAGGTTCCTGGTGATGGCTGGGAGGGGACATCTTACCTGACCGCTGGGCAGCAGTGGGCGTCGCTGCAGGTGCCCTTCTGTCCTGTCTCCCTCCCTCCTTTCGTGGCCCCCACATTCCTGTTTCCTCCACCGCCTACAGCTCCTCCTCCTCCTTCCCTGGCTCTTCCCTGTGGGTGACTCTGGGCTTCCCTCTCTCAACCTGTTCGATCTCCATGCCCTCCCCCGCAGCCTCTTCACCTCAATGCCCACGGCTGCACCTAACAGCTTGGGCTCCCTGCATTCTAGAACCGCGTCTCCGAGCACCACTCGCAGCTCCCAGGCAGAGGGAGGGAGGGAGACGATTCTAACGTCCACAGGGCCCAGCCCGAGCCTCCCCTTGGCCACCAGACCTGCTTCTCCAGATTCCCCCTCCACTGACTAGCCTCCCCCCTCACACACTCAGTAGGAGACATGACAGACGGTGGATTTTACCATCAGAATCTCCCTCAAGTTCATCGTCACGGCCACTGCCTCCACCCAAGACCTCATCTTTCCATGCTGGTTACCAAAAGCAGTCCAGTCCCCTCCACGGCTGCCCAAAGGAACGTGCTGCAGGTGGCCTTTATACGGCCAAAAGTCCTGCTTACATCCTGCAGACGCCCTGAACCTCCTCACACAAGGGGCGCCCATGGTTGCGAGGTGAGTGCTTTGCCTTCCACGCAGTGGGATGCCCATGACCCTGACACTCCTGCCCATCACAGGTCCTCCTGCACACGGGAGGGGTGACATGCCCAGTGGGTGTGGGAGGAGCGGCCTATCCCTTCCCAGTGCCCGCAGCTCAGGGGACAGTGTGGGCTCCTTGAGGCCCACGAACCTCTGGGGACCCTGGTTTCCACTACAGCAGCGGTTCTCAACCTGTGGGTAACAACCCCGTTGGCAGTCGAACGACCCTTTCACAGGGGTCGCCTATGACCATCCTGCATATCAGATATTTACATTACGATTCATAACAGTAGCAACATCACAGTTATGA